ACATTTCTACATCGTTGCCAAACGCAGATATTTTTCAACAGCGTTTCCTTCTCTGTCAATGGCTATTTCCAACTGGTGAACAAAGCCATGCATCCTGACATTGGAAAAGTCCTTGTCCTTGTATAGCCCCTATCATACAGTAGCCATGGCTGCTCTCATCCCCAAAACGCTGCCCTCAGGATGCTCTTCACTCTCTGGAGGATGGGGCAGCACAGTCTATCCAAAAGCTGAGACTGCCTCCACGTCTGTGGTGCGCAGGCTGGCCTACGGGCAAATGTTATTGTGCAGAGGCAGCACCTTACACCTGTCTCTGTAGGGACAAACTCTTTGCATTTGATATTTCAGTTTCTCTGGGGTCTTGACATAGTCCTCTGAGTTTGCTGTGGCCTCTGTAGGCATAAAGTCTAGAACATCCACTATTGTCTGTGGCTTGATTAGGAGATAAAAATTAGGAGGCATTTTTTCTAACCTTCATATAATGTTGGGTCAGTCACCAGTGAAAAAAGGCCATTGAAGGAGGAGGCTATGTTAACAAAAATAGGTGTGTGTTTAGCGATACAAATTTACCATCCATGTTTAATATTTTTTTCAATAATATTTGGCTGAGAGAAAATAATAGAAGGCATTACTTTCTGACTGACCTTTGTATTTACATGACCCACTAATGCATATAACAAAACTGTATACAAAAGGTCATTTCAGTAACTGTCATCAAAAACAGTTTGCATACATTATTATTAGTATTGAGCATCCTTGCTCACACCTGTGAAATTTATACTTACTAGTAAGGACTGCTAAAGTCCCAGTTTTTAGCCTAACAGTTAACAGCTGGAACTATCAGACTCTTTTGTTTTCTTAACAGTCGTTTCATTATCAATTTTTTTACTTTTTTCTTCCTCCACTTTGTCTTGTTTTAGGAGTTTTTCAGGCATCTGGTCTTCACTGCTGGAAACAGGATCTAAAACTACAATGGACTCAGTCTGCTTTTCACAGCTAGAAGATTTTCTTGCAAAATCCACATAACTAGGTGATCTGGGGGAAAATGTAGAATGCATATGTAAATACACAAATTTACATGTTTCCAACAAATATGAACAAACAGAAAATATAGAAACGATTAATAGCATTTCATGACCAAGACAGTTACATCACATGGACAATTACACAAAATGACAATGATCAGATGACTCCTCTTATATCACTTAATAAGCTAATTACGCTAGGAAGTTGCGGCAACCAGAAAAAATTAAGTTATGGAGCAGCAAGTGAGGACATTCACGTTATGAAAGACAAAGTAATTTGTAAAAAAAACAGTTCTGTTTTCTGTGGCAGGGCAATTGTGTATAGCTTTACATGTCAGGGAGGTGGTAATCAAGGAAAACTTATGCCAGAGCTAGTAGGGAGACAACAGCTTCCTGGCCATATCTGCATTTTGCACCCTTAAAAAGGACAGAGCCTGATACCTACACCCTGCCACAGGGCAGACAAATATAAACAGCCAGATTTTCAGTGTATTCATCACCTCGTCTCACTCTTATTTTTCTATAACTGCAGAGAGCCGAGACTTGAAAGGCTAGCCATAGGAGACCTTAAAATGCAGCGAACACAAGGATTCTACACTAGAGAAGCGCAGTATCCCGGATTTGCCACGGGGAGGCACTCGCAAAGAGACAGATGTTGCAAGTCCTTACTGTGCGAGACCACCACGAGTCAGATCCTAACGTAGATGCGTCCTTAGTGAGTTTAGCACGGGCAGAGCTCCACGAGTGCAAGTTCCTAATGCAGATTAGATGCATCTGCATAGAATAAAACTAGGACTTCTGTGGTTTAGCTCAAGTGTGTCCCTGTTGGTTCAGCAACATCTTTATAGTTACACCTGTGTAAACCTCCCGAACAGACACAAGCCATAGATTCCCTTTTCAGTTGTGACCAAAAAAACAGCTCTAGATGGATGATGAATGCAACTGCACATGCTTGCCTGGGGCTACTTTCTGCCTTTCTTCAATGTGCTACACAAACACGTTGCCAGGATGATGACATAACTATTAAAAGGAAAAACCAGAATCTACCAGAGGAAAGCAAACATATGTAAAGGGTCAATCTGTCAGAGCTGCCCACCAAGATAACCACTTTGTCTAAGATGGAAAGACAGCAGGGAAAAAGAGAGGTCAGTTGACTCAGCCATGGGAACACAAGTGCCGAGGTTCCTCCAGCGCCTGCCAGACCATAAGAGAAGCAGCAAATCTGCAGTCTGAACCAGTGGAAGCAAACTCACTGCTACGACAAGTTGTAATATTTTCCATTCAGAGAGTAAATTACTGACCTTTCCTGGTTTAATATACACAAAAGAGGCATGCTGAATTTCTGTTTCAAACACTGTGTCATGGTTTGTATTCAGTGAAATTCCACGTTCAAGCAACATTCACCAGAATCATGTCTAACATCAGAGCCTCAGTACAAGTTAATTAATTCAGAAATTGGCACTAATAGGTACAGTTGCAGGCTCAATTGAAGACAGTCAAAACCCAGAGATTTTCCAAGGAAAATAATGCTTATTTTATGCAAACCCTGCCTATCACTCAAGCTTAATTTTGCTGAAAATAGAAGGTGGGATATTTTGAACATTACTGTGAATGAAACTTTTTAAAGCAGTTTAACTACAAGAGGGTTATTTTAGAAAGTGCTACCTCTGAAAAGCTGATTGCCCAACACTATAAAAATGGTCAAAGCCATAAATGCCAAGTTCATTTTTATTTCACTTTGGAGGTAACTATCTTTCAAATCCCAACAGCTGGACTATTTAATACAATCTGGTGAATCAAAGTATAATTCTTCACTGGGCTCACAGCGGGGAGTCTGCATTAGTGTGTGGCAGCAATCCAACAACTGATGTACAGCCAAACACTCTGAAGTCTGTTTCATTTACAATAAAAATGGATAAAACCGCAATAGTATTTACCACCTTCAAGGACAGCAAAATGAAAGAATTAAATTTGTTGATATGAAGTAGTTTAATGGAGAAAGCCAGAGATGAAGTCAGAGTTACATTTTTGAGTATAAAATAGAGAATTACTGTTTCGTAGTTTGACTAGTATTTCCCTCTTCAAATCCTTCCCACAATTACTACCCTGATTTGTCAGTACTGCTGCTAGGGCTGAGGCAGTGTTATTGTTTAAAATTAGAAATCCCGTTCATCTGGAGCAGATGCCTGGCCTGAGAAAGTTTCGGTGCGAGGGTTATTATAGAGTCATGTTTCAAGCATGCCCTGCATTTGGTGCTCTCTCTCAAAATATCAACTTTATTTGCCATTAAAAGAAGCTCGGGCAAGCAATTAGGGTGCAGTCAGGTTAACCACTTTTTTACAGTATTGCAAATTCAAGGTTTTTGCCTCTAGCTCTGTGCAAAGCTTCCAAGAATTTTACTTCTCATGTTGTACTAACTAATTGTGCTAATAGGTATTGAAGCCAAACACGGAAATATTCCCCAGCGTTACTGAGTCCATATTTACAGACTGGTTTTTAAATCCATTTGTATTAAAGGTGATTAAATGTACAAAATCCAGAGTATGATCTGGAGTACATTTTTGCTGGATCTATTGTAATAAACTGAGACTAACATGCCAGCTGTTATGCAGTGTGTGCCTGGATTACAGGAATACCGATGTTAACACATCAACGCAGAGCAACAAAAGATATAAAGAAGTAAAGAGCTGAGTGACAGTCCGTTTGTGGATCAGAGCCACCAGAGATTTTTCACATTATTCGGACTTCAGCAGCAGATGCAGTGCAGAAGGACAAATTGAGGATCCATACTGTCAGCTGTTTCTCAGACTTTTCTCCATGCATTTGCATGGAAACCTTAATATTATTTAAATCTGGTCAATTATTAATGAAGCCATTTTGTTGTATGACATGAGAAATACAATTTACTTAAAATGTATCATGGCACAGTCTTACCTGGTCTCCTTAAACATCTGCAAAAACCCAGGCCCAAAGGACATAATTTGGAGGGTAAAATCCTTGTTTCAATCCCATGTTTTGACGTCTATACCAAGAAAGAGCTGAAGATTTACCTAGTAACGTATCACGTGGAGGCAAAACCCCCTGAAAAGGATGTCATCCAAAGAACAGCTGGATGGTGGGACACCACAGCTTACTGTTGCCTACTGTCTACCTGCAACCCCCAGCCCTCCCTCCTTTCCTATGAGTTCAGAAACTCAGGTGCAATACTGCTCCTCTGCCACACAGCTTAAATTAAACACGGCTTACATAAAGAATGGCACAGGGGTTGTATGCACAAAAGCTACCACGCTCAACACAGGAGCTGGTCACAAGGCTACAGTGCAACCTTCCAGAGGTCACTGCTCTAATCTGTTTGCCATTCCTGCTCCCTACACACCAGCATATGGGGACAGCTAATGGCAAAACAATGGGTCTTCCCTTTACCCACCTCCACTGCCCCCTTCTATGTCAGCCAGTTGAGGAAAGCACAAACCCCACCTTTGTGAAGGGTCACAGTAGCTCGTTGTGTCAGCAGGTGTCAGTAGGCGAGTCAATTTTACTCTTTACGGTTTTACTCTTAGGGTATTGGCACATGACAATGAAACAGAGGACAAAATACTTTGGGGGCTGAGGCCCCCAAAGACTACTGAGAAGAGGCGGAGGGAACTGAGCTTCTTTAGTCTGGAGAAGAGAAAACTGAGGGGGGATTTGACAGCAGCCTTTAACTACCTGAAGGAGGGTTAGAAAGAGGATGGAGCTGGACTGTTCTCAGTGGTGGCAGATGACAGAGCAAGCAGCAATGGGCTCAAGTTGCAGCAAGGGAAGTTGAGGTTAGATATTAGAAAGAACTTTCCCACTAAGAGGGTATTAAAACACAGGAACAGGTTACCCAGGGAGGTGGTGGACTCTCCATCCTTGGAGGATTTTAAGACCTGGCTAGACAAAGCCTTGGCTGGGATGATCTAGCTGGTGTTGGCCTGCTTTGAGCAGGGGGTTGGACTAGATGACCTCCTGAGGTCACTTCCAACCCTCATTTTCTATGTTTCTAAGTATTATGGAATAATTTACTTCTCCACAATGAATTTACTCTGTAGTAAGGAGCAGACAGACAACCGGCTCCCTCAACCTGGCTGCCAGCAGTAAGTGCTATTACAGCACATGACCACTAGGTCCCATGGGAACTAGCTCACATTGACCAAATGGCTACCCAACTTACGAAACCAAGCAGGGGGCTTGGGGGACACAACCGGTACATCAGTGCAACTTACACTCGTGTGTAGCTACTACTCTTTTCCGAAAAGGCTGTGCCCCGCGTGTATGTGCCACCTATGCTGTGAAGTCAATTTACTCTGTAGCAAACTTGTCACGTGGCTGCCCTGTCAATCCATGAATATAGCAAACGCTGCAGAAATGTGTTTCAGAATGTTCTGGAATCCGTAACAGAGGACAAGGCAAAGGGTTGAAGGAAAATACCCAAGCATTCATGCAGAGACAGAAACACAAACTACAGGAGTGTAGACACTGCCCCTGTAGATCAGATGAGTGGTCCGTCTATTCTGATTTTCTATCGCAGCCAGTGGCTGGTTTCAGAGACTGCTGAAGAAGGTACAATAATCCCCATAATAGAGGATTACGGACTATGTTGCCCCTGTGGGCAGGTTCTTAAATTTAAGGTTGGCGAAAGGGACTTAACAGTCAGCAGAACTGAATTTTAGATGCACTCCTTAGCAGACCAGCATATCAAATCACTTTCATGCTCGTTGAAACTTGTCCAGAAACAATCAGTGAAAGTCGCCAGACTCGAACAGCCTTCAATAAGGTAACAGGGCAGCAGTCTGCATTGTAATCGGGGCTATTTAAACATATTTTTCTTCTTTCAGTCTGACAGCTACTTTTAAAACTGTTTGTTAAATATTAGAAGATTCTCAGCTTCCAGAGCATCCCATTGTTCTCCCCATTTTGTTGTTTAAGCTTAATTGTCCATGTACAAGCTGCACACGGAAAACTTTCTATAGCTGTGTCTAGCTGAGGCTGAGCTGCTTCCTGCAGTGTCAGTAGACAATTCAGTGGTACTAAGATTACAGCTGAGAGAAGGAGAACAAATCCTTTAATTGTATAAAATCATCAGATTAAGCCTTCCCCTCTACGTGGTTCATTCTGTTAACTGAGTAGTCTACTGCCCGGAAACAAAATGTTTACCAAATGCTAAGAACACAAAGTAGAGGGGAGTGGGGACGGACGGAAGAGCTGGATACACCTTTTCTTTCTGTGTGTACACACTGCAGGAGTCATGGGAAACCTCATGGCCTCCAACTGAACAAAATACTACCTTACTCCCTCTCGAGGAATTGTCTCCAAATTCTGCTCCTGCTGGGATAAATGTTTTGGGAGGATACGTCTACAAGGAGTTGTCTTAAAGCTGAGCTGCGGCCTTCCATTTCTCTTTGTGACCTGTTTTCCTTCTCAGCTGAGCTTCACAAATTCCCAATCAGCCTTTTAAAATGGCATCAAGCCTTCATTGTATCAATCTTGTAAACAACCAGGCCAATGGCCAAGAGCTAATAAGTTTTAGCCTGAACTAATTCTTCTAAACTCCAAAATGCGATTGGCTGGTCTGACCACAGGGATGTTTTACAACCAACTTCATTGACTTACGTTAGGATGCCATTCTACAATCCCTCTTGCACAGAGTAGCCCTGACTTAAACCAGCAGTCCCGCTGATTCATTTAACCCCCTATCTTGTCAGCACTTCCGTACGTAATTGTATTCCTGCATGTAATCCCACTCGAGTCTGAGTGAAATTCTGACCCTGCTGAAGTCTATAGCAAAACCCACTCAGGAAGGTCCAAGATCTCAAATGAGCCTTCCTGTTATTCACATGCATATAGATAAGATGAATGCATCGCCTCAATGGCACAACCCATACGTGCGAGGGATACTCAGTTATGCGGAGTTAAACCACAGAATCGGGCTGTTTGGAACCTAAAATGTTTGAAGTCCCACTCTTCGTTCCTCAGGTCCTGATCCACAGTCGAGGACCAATGTAGCCAAAAGAAATACATCACGCAGGAATGTCCATCAAGCTTTTCTGCAAGGATGCTACAGACTTTGATAAAGTTAGTGCTAATCCAAGAAACAAAGGCTGGCCTGGATGAGAGACCCTGTAATTATGGTACCTGTACTCCAGCAGGGCACCCTAGGTGGTCTGCCGTGCAGCTGAAAACAATAAAGTGGGTCACACCTTTGTCATGGTTTGAAAGAAATGTAAACGATAATGAGAGAGATAAAGCGCCTCATCTTGAGGCTGAGTGAGAAGGACGGTGACAGCAAATAATTTACTAGCACCTGTTGCCTAGGTGTCCAGTCAAAGCAAAGGAGTGTTTGGTTCCTTACCAGTTTGGTTAACAAGGAAGAGCCTGCTTAATTACAGTGGTATGTTTGCAGCTGCTGAGTGAAACAAGTTCCTTCGGCTTTGTGATTTAAACCGACACTCTTCCAAAGCAGGCCAGCTTAAGGGCAAGGCTCTAACTCACCCTTACTGCAAACAGGCCCACAAAGCCCAAAAAGGTATTAGGATGAATCAAGGTATCCTGGGCATGTCTAGTTTGCTTTGCTAGCCCAGCAGCAGGAAGAAAGTGTATTGCAAGAACCATACATCATTTCTATCCCACCAGATCATCCATGACAGCAGCTGTGTAAGGGGTCTCTCCATTTAAGACATTACACCAGTGGCACGGCGCAAATCAGCCATGCAACTCCAGGGAATCTGGCTCCCTGGAATTTGTTTTAGGGCTTTAAACAGATAAATTAAAATTAAATGCGTCTTCTAGGTTGTCACTGAATAGGCAAGCTGCAAAGCAAATTGAACTGCACATATGCTTTCATAGCACATAACAACTGTGACTGTCAACACAAGATCCTTTTCACTGTCAATTCACCACGCATTCTGCAAGACCTTGGGCCGGCAATTATTTCATTTCCTTTCTTGCAAATGTAATTTCCACTTAGTTTGGTGGAATAAAAGGTAGACAAAAGGTAGTAGGAGTTGCTGTATTTTCTGATTAAGATCATCTGTTCAAAATAGTAGAAATCCATAGACTAACACAACGCAAAGTTTCTCAGAAACTAACTCACCTCAACAAATTTTCTTTTGTATCCAAGTACTGATTCAAGAAAATGCAGCCACATTGTTGATGTCAAATTAACTGTTAAGCAAATTTAATCAGAATGATGAAGAGCAAGTATGGATCATCTTTCTGTTAAGGATGCTTAAAAGCAAAAAATTTGAAGGGGGGAAGTGACAGCCAATTGGAGAGTTTATTTGCTTTTAAAACTCAATGGGAATTCAATAAAAGTATAAAAGCAAAGAAAAAAAGCCTTTCATTAAGTAAAAATGATAAAAGCACCAACAAGAGAATGAAGTAAATGTAAGTTCACAAAAATGGATTCGAATTGAATTTCCAGTTCATTTATTATGATTCAGCCCTTTGAACTAAGCAATAGAGACTTATGAGAATAGGTATTCTCTTTCTACTGATGGAACAGGAAATCAGAGGTTTAATTAACCATGATTACAATATTCTCCTGATCTGATTTGTCTCACTGATTTCCTTTTCTTTACATGACAAACTACCCAACAAACATCCTGGCAAAAAAACTAAAGCAAATCTGCAGACCAATTTCAAAAAGAGCTTTGCATTGTTATAAAACAAACTGATCCTCTACCGGATCTGTCTGAAATGTATATTTCTGAAGCAGGATTAACTCTTTGATGCTTAAATGGCACTTTGAAGCATCACTCTGAAGTGCCAAAAGAATCCTTAGTCCGTTGTGCCAGAAAAATATCTGATTCAGCATTTTCTTTCAGCTTATAAACGGTGGGATTTCTGGATAGTTCAACACTTCCGTTTTCTTCTGGCAAATGTTATTTGGAGAGCTGAACCTGAGATTGTGAAAATGTGTGTTCCTTTTGGTCCACTAGGGGAAAAAAAAGCCACACAAGGTTTTACATGGATCAGATTTATTTGATACTTCTGTCTATCTCCTAAAATGAGGAAATAAATGTACACCTGTACCCTCTCTTAATGAGGTATGGGAAAAAATACCTGAAATGAAACATTTTGTCATTCCTCATAAACTCTCATCAACTCTTTGTAGCCAGACTTCCTGAATTTTTGTCCTGTACAGCCACTGACTCTTGAGACAGAAACTTTTCATAATGGAAAGTTTACCTCCAAATGGAACTGGGATAACTTACATGGGGAGTCATACACCGTGCGTTTAACTAAATCATATTAAGCTGCTTAAAAACATACCACGTGCTAAACGGGTTCGGCATTACTTACTGAAAGACACCCTTGGAACTTGCGCTTCCTTTCATTTGATGAGACCCTTCACCTGAATCGGGTGCTTTGGCAAATTCTGCCTCTAGGGGTTTCTTGTCCAATGCAGGTTGTGTTGTGCTGACTTCCAATCCTAACACGGGCATGGATTTTGATTCTGATGTGGCCAGGGCTCCCATGGGACCTAAAGCCCAAACACAGTTTAGTCTCTTTTGTTATGTTTTTACAAATTGGCTTACTAAACTGAAAACTAAGACGACAAGTCACATCAATTCTTTTTAAAGACCGTGGAATGAACTGAACTAGATTCCATTTAAATATAGACCTTACCCCTAAACTGTTACAAGAACCCAGCACCGTTCAGCCTAAGGTCTACGAGAACAACAGAACTCTGGGTGCATCTATACGTGCATTAATACTATTTGGCTTTACTGTGCAGGAAATGTACTACCTGCATAAGCATAAGCAGGTAGTAAATCTACTGCACAGTAGACTAATTTACTGCGCAGTAAGTGCCTGCATGTGTAGACAGTGATGCTTTACTGTGCAGTAGATTAGTCTACTGTGCAGTAAATACAGCCCCTGGCTGGCAACTGATTTCACTCATCTGAAAAATGTCTGCTGGTTCCTCTATTATAAATGGATATTTGACCAAAAATGTAATGCCATCACAGGCCCTTGTTCTTCAGAGGGAGTGAATTCAGAATGGCAGTCATAAATGACCATTCTCCTATTTCACATTCATTTATGGGGTATCCCTTGGCAGGGTGCATGGGGAGGCAAATCAGCCTAAGGACTTTATGCTCTCTGAGTTCCAGAAGAAAAGCTTTATAAGGGTGGGTGGAAAGTGCCCGGAGATGCTTATGCTGGAGAAAATGGGGATAGCAAAGTAAGGGGAAGTGTTAAAGGGCATAAACCTTTAAACTGCTTTATAACAAGCCATGTGGAACTTGACAGGATCATGAGGAAATTGAACTGACTTACTGGTGCCGTCTTGCTCAGTCGTCACCTTTCTGCGCCGCAAGATTCTCTCTAACTCAGTTTCGCTGCTGTCCTTCTCGAGGGATTTTAAGCTCCTCGAACTTGTGGATGTGTTCAGGGTTGTCTGTAGTGAAGACATAAATAGGTGATCATGTGGACATACCTCCCCTGCACCTAATAGTTTCCCTATCAGGAGAATGGGGTAACAGTATTTACCTACCTTAAAGTGGACTTTAATGGCCAAAATTTAGCTCAGAGAGAGGCCTCAGGAGTGGAAAAAGTCTACATGTATTTTGTGCATAGCTACAGATTGCAGGAGAAGAATGTAGCTGCAACTACCCCTCTAGGGGACGACTGCAAGGGCCAACACTGCCCCAAAAGGAGGTGGTGCCGACATGGAACAAATTATATCTAGGTGAATTAGCATGTCCCCCGAGCAGTCTCCACGGAGCCCTGCCTCAAGAAAAAGATGCCATTTCCTGGTAGAAACCCAAGAGACAGGAGGTAGCAGTAGAAGCAGCAGCAATAGCCATCCCTTGGTGAAGCCGGTGGACTATTTGTAAAGTGTTATACAAAAGCTCTGGATCATTAATGCAACAGGAGACAAAGTAGGCAAGACATCTTGCTGTAGATGCAGAAGTATCCAACTCCAAGCTCCTCTCTGGACTTGCATCAAATGCTCCCCCAGTTCATCCTCGTAAATGGGGCCCTGATCACTCAGGCTGGACAATTAAGGGTGGCCTGATGTTAAATTAGCCAAGGCACTCCTTCGTGTCAGGAGGGTATCTTAATTATGCTGGCCCAATGGGCCACCCAGGCTCAGTAGGAACTTTGACCTTTTTTTAGATTACTGAACAACCAATCCCTCCTGCTGAAGTGCTGAGGAACACCACAAGGTGCAAGCAGATGAGTATCTTGCCTGTAACCTGTATTAGCTAAAAGTCCTAAAGCCACATTTCACTGAATGCTATAGTTTGTCTCTATCACTATGCTATTTAATCTAATTAAGGGCTGTCTACCCAATGGCCCATGAGCCACATGTACCTTAATTTTTAGCCCCCAGGCTCCTGTCTGGATGTCAATGCCCCCTGCTCCAGCTGCAGAGGCTGTGGTCTCCGGTCTCTCTCTCCTTCCCCCAGTAAGTAATGTGGCACAGCATGGTGCAGTACGCAGTACTGGAGAAGCCCACAGCCTCGGGCACCAGTGGGGTGCAGTGCAGTGGGGGAGTCCATGGCTGGGGAGTGGAAGGTAAGGCGGGATGCCCATGCAGTACGTGGCCTGGGCGGCCTATGGCTCATAGTGCTGTAGCCTGCGTGGCATGTGGTGCTCACTCCTGCAGCCTGTGGCGACTGCAGCACCCGACCTCTTGGAAGCTGGACAGTCCTGGTCTAGATGATGTTCATGCACATGCGGCACATGGCTCCCTGGAAGTCAATGTGCATGTGCAAGCTGGTGTTACAGCAGGTTCATTCCACGCCCATGCTGATCTCAAAACTCACTTACGTCCACATTGAAAGCCAAAGTGTTTTCATGGGCTACCAGGTGTCTTTTGATAGCAGTACCAGATCTCAGATTAGATTTTTCTTTCATTCTATACAGAATATGGACCACATTACTGCTTTATGCTGGGATGAGCATGTCATTATGCTTGCCTGTTGACTATGGAAAGGTCTTACTTCATAGCTTTCCTAGGAAAACAAAGTCCTCTACGGACCCTCCCTTGGGAATTTTAACATGCACAAAGCAAGTTCAGTATGGACCTCCAGTCTGGCAAGAGTTAAGTAGCATCCCAGTGAAACATCAAACCAATGGCAAAATTGCCCTACATGTTTAGAAAACAGCTCAAAATTTGGGACATGTACATTTATGGCTGCCTCCTTCTGAGCCTCACTATTTTTCTGTGATCTTCAAATAGCCCGGCTCCTGGTAGTTCCACAACTGACCTTAGAGACCCATGCAGCATGTTTTCAGCTGTGTTTCTTCTGAGTGATGAGTGAAGAGAAGCAAGATACAGTAACTGGCTGCCAATACGCACTCTCTTGAACGGGGGATCAGATGGCAAAACCAAGCAGAAGCTTATTAGTCGCAAAGGCAGGACCTCTTTCAGGATTTCATCAACTCAGCTCCGAGTTCAGAGCACTTGCTGTTTTTTGGGGTTTTTTACGTTAATATATTTTCTTCCATAGTCATTCTGAATTTAGCTGAGTAGGTGCACTATTAACGAATAGCATTCGTCAGAACCGTACTAATGACACATGCTTAAAAGTAAAGTGAGTAACCGAGTTGCTTTCCTTTAACTAGGCAATTTACAGGATATAAATGTGTTTTGTTTATAACAATTATATGGAGATCTGCGCAAAATGCATAATTAGCACAGTAACAACAAACATGAAGTGTTTGTTCACTTCCCACCCCCGTGTTTGTCATCTGACTGTGCATAATGAATAGTCTCAAGAACAAACTGGAATTTGGTTTCATATGGCAGCGCTCATACTCTCAACAACTTAGAGATTCAAAAGCAATGAGGTAGGCACTGGTAGTACAGTGATGATGTCCTTCTCCTAAGCAGAGCCCTGAATGACTTTGATCATGAAGGAATGAGTCCCCTGCAATCAAAAGAAACAACCATTCTGCACTCAGCAATTGCTCCCTCACGGCTTTGAACACAGCCTCCTTACAGACAATGCCAGCAAGGACAGCAGGGCATCCTCTACTCACGTTGAAAAGGAGGCACTGAATCTTCAACACGGAGCTAAAGACTGACTTTAACCAAATACAGACAGAACCACGTTCAGTTCACTATTCCCCCAAAACCCAACACTGCCACCCTGCAATTGCACCCCTGGAACTGGCCAAGCCCAAGATGCACTTTGGGTATAGGACCACAAAACCTCCTGGATTAGATGCATAATCAGCCATGCCAAAGCCAGTGCTCTTAGATATCATGCTCTGTTTTAAAACAATAAACACAGAGAGGACCTCTATCATCTCAGCAGCAATACAGCCAGCAGGAGTGTTTTGGCTTATTACCACAAAATACTACAGCATATTTAAATAAGGGTTGTTTATATCCTAGCACTGATTATTAGGAACTTCAACCTTAAAAAATGCATGTGATGACATTAGTACATTGTGATTGAAATCTTGGCCCCCTTAAAGCCAACGCCCCTATGCTTTGGCTTCAACAGAGACAGGATTTCAGCTTACAGATGTGCCAAACTTATGCTTCAACTTTTAACTATCAGGACCAGAAAAGCGAGGTAGCAGAAGCTAGGAATATTTTAGTATTAGTTTATGTAAAGAGAAGCAGCTATCGAACATGAACAAGGTGGAGTACAAGTACATTACAAAACAACAGTACATTGAACACATGTTGTTAAAGTTGAACAGAATACCAAGCATATACACTTTATTCAGCATGTAAGGTAGATGCGAGGATTTAGATATTTCTCTCTATATGGATACGGCTACATAGACTGTACATATACAAATACAGGTAAAAAGACAGGAGTTATAGCTCTTTATTTGTGCATCTGAGTCTGCATACATAGATTTATCTATTATATGCATATTCAGAGATCAAGAGTAGGAGTCAGAGCAATATCTCTGTCGCTATATAAATTTACATATATTTATGTAAGTAAATAGAAAGAAAAACAATAGTCCTCCCTCTTCATTTCTTTCTCTATTATACAATATATATTCAGAGGTCAAGAGAGGGAGTCAGAAAAATCTCTCTGCAGCTCTATATATACTTAGCCAGCCATCCTTCTAAGAAGGTCCTGTCACGCCAGAGGCTGATAAAACAACGGAGTGCAAATACTATGCTTTCTTACCAGTATCCCCTTTAGTTCTTTCACTGCACTGTCAGAGGCCTTTGGTGTTTCTGGCTGTAATTAAACACAAAACATGCCTGTAATCAATCTGATTCTGAAAACAGTGACTATGGAAACCCTTTCATATATGAAGACAAATCCCATATAAGGCAGCAATGGGTTTATTATATGGGCCTATGTAGCTGTATTAAGCTCCCAACTTAACCCCAAATATATAGTTGATTATTTAACATAGCAGGATTTCTGAAAAAAATGATCCTGCTTGGAAAACTATATTAATTATGTACTAACAATAAAATTAAGTAGTAAGGGTTTCAGTAAGCATATTTTAGTAAAGTTGAAAGCTAATGTTCTGCCATAAAACATGAAGTAATAAAAACATAGTAAACTGTTTGAACTCAATGTCCCTTTTTTGTGTGCGTCTGTTATTGGTTTCTCCACAAAGGCAAAACAGAGCCCCTTTTTGGTACAGTAAGTTGCAGAGCAAAACCTCTTCTTTATTGTTACAATGAGAAGCCTCTCTCAGACATAAATGTACAATAACAATCTCAGGTCTGGGCCCATGCATTAGTATATGGCAAAAGGAAGAATCTGTTTCAGTTTGAAGCCTTGACAAAGGCTAGGGAGGCTTACACAGCTGGTCCAAGGTAAAGGACTGTGTTCAGTTCACACTTATGTTGGTATAAGCAAGAGTTAGTAGGTATATGAAACCAGATTAGATTGAGGGTGCAAAGTCAGAGCCCAGTGAGGCAGCATGAATTCATCCTGCCCCCTGAAAAGCATCGACACATTCTGCTTCAGAGAGGCCCAATCTCAACCAGCGCTACTTTCTTGTATTTCAGTATAGTCTGCGCTACACTTACAAAGCTTCCCCGATGTGGCTTGCTCCCAGGAATACACTGGCTGTGCTCTGCAGGGCCAGGCAGGGAGATGACTGGTGAGGGACCATAAACCCACCACTCTGCCTGACTGCACTGCATACTCGTGCCCAGGAAGAACTTCTCAGGTTAGCAAACTCCTTGAACTCAAAACTACTTGCGCACAGTAATCCCAAGAATTAAAAACTCATGAAGAAAGCCTGAAACAAAAATGCCTAAGTTGGATTAATTGCATTGTTCTTCTACTTCCTGAGCCATCCAGTTTCCCTTGAGTCTTATATCAAGCTCTTTTCTACAACCATGAGGACAAGAAGTGTATACGGGGGGAGAAGAGGGGTTAGAGCGATCTGAGATTTTCACGTAACCACATGAATGCAGGAGCTGAAGCTTTAAGAAAAACTATCATCTCCCATGAAAATCAAAATAAGTACCTGGAAACATGGTAGGTGAGGGGTGCTCAAACTATGGCTCTTGGGCCAGGTCTGACCTGCAGAGCTGTGTCATTTATCTGTGGGGCTCCCCAAGGGTCCATAAATTTGGCGACAAGGGAAGGGTGGTAGTGTTAATTGCTGCAGTCTCCATGTTAATTAACATAGTCCCCAGCATTAATGCTGCCACTGTTTCCTCACTGTCAAATTTCTGGACCCACAGGGAGCTCCATGGAGGTAACATGGCCCTGCATGTTGGATCACACCAGCACATGGGGTCACCCCGCAGCCAGATCCAGCACACGGGGCTAGGCCAGCATGCACCTGCAGATGGACTCTGCTGGATTGGGCCGGCAGATCAACCCTGCAAGGAGGTTCTGGACCATGAACTCATCTGCGTGCGGTGCTGGAGAGATTGAGCAGCATTACGCTAGACATTTACCGCACTCTAATGGGAAAAGATTGGTTTTTTGATTTGAAAAATGGAAAAAGATTCTCATCTTAATAATTAACACTGAAAACCACAGCATCCTGTTGATCTTTCTTTGCATAGAGGCTAACTGCAAATTCTTTTTACTGCAAACAGGAAATGACATCATACTGGGGGTGTGGTCCCCCCTCCCCAACCCCGTCATGCCACATGCACAGGGTGTGGAAGACAAGTCCAGCAGGCTGTGCTCATTAAGGATCAGGTCTCTCAACCTTCCCTTAACACAACCCAATCACAGTCCTATTCACCTTTCCTTTTTCTCCTGTTTCTTAATAGTTACGTTTGTGGAGGTGCTCATTTTAAAAGAGGGTCTTCTCACAGTTTTGCGCTGTATGAAACAAAAGGTGACTGCAAGATGACCTCCCAATGAAGATGGCCTGCCATGATGACGCCGAGAATCTGAAGAGTGTTCCCAAAACCTTAACAAAAATCATTAAAAGGCTGGAGGAATGACAAAGAGTAAAATGGAGTAAAATGGCTATTTTTTTCTAATTTCCACGATTCAATAAAAAGCAAGCCCAAAGCAGCTGTTAAAACGACACGTTATTCAGGATTTGCTGCCTTATTTCCATGTCCCTTGTCTCAACTTCCTTCTTCCATCTGTGAAGCTGCACGATCTGACAGCTATTTTTCCTTGTTGATTAAAAAACAAGCAAAATAAAAGGAAAAAAAGGCAGAAAATTGCACTCTGCCAAAGGTACTTGGGTAGGTGTTGTTTGCTTTTAGGATATACTGTTGTACTAGGCTAACATTATTCTAATTTCCTCTGATCTGAGACACACACACAAAGGAACTGCTGTTTATACCAAACCTTTGTCTTGGGTCGGCTTGATTGATTGACTGGTCTAAGGTGAACTCCTTTTTTAATTCTGTCCATCATTTCTTCAACTGCTTGTCTCTTCAGATCAGTCACTTCACCTGGTTGCAAGGGACATTACAGCCACATTAACTCTATTGACTGTTGAACAGACGCACAAAGAAAACAATTATTTTAAGAGAGAAACATTGCACAAATAAAGAATGTGCCAGGGGCAAGATGGCACGTGCCAGAGGCAAGATGGTCATTAAGTCACAAAATTCAGTGGTTGACAACTGGGGTACAATACAGTAAACTGTACAACAACAACAACAAAATTCATCTCTGAGTACTCAGTGCTTCGGGATTAGGCTCCAAAGAACTGGCAAGTTGTTTGAGGCAAGAGGCCTGAATCTGCCATCAGTAAAACCCCTATAATTGGGATATTAGAGGTAAATAATGCTCACAAATGAGGCAGTGAACCAGCAAGGTACTTCCACATATTTAACTTCAAGTAACAGTGCTACTCTTAAGCACACACTTACGAATCTTAAACCAAGGCCCTAAAAACTTAAAAGAAAAAATGGAATAAAACCATAGAGAATTGATATGCAAAAGGCAAAATCTAAATGCCATCAAAGGAGCTGGCTTCCAAGAGACCCCAGTTCAGACCTGGCACAGACCTGTGACATGCTCAAGTGAAACAAAGTCCTATCTGATGAAGGTGAGCACTTCATACTAACATGCTGATATGCTCTGGAAGGCATGACTAAAACCACTTAAGGTACCATACAAAAAAAATACCCTAATTAAAGCAGACAGATGGAGAATTATGGTCAACACTATTCAAGCCTGCTTTAGTGCCTTACATAAGAGGAATTTTAAGTAGACCTCTCTCCTGCTTGTCAGGGTAATACTGATGATTCATAGAAGCCCTGTTTCTGTATTGTATACTGATTTAATGCCAGGCCTTTAATGCCAGGCTTTAATTTCCCAAACAGTCTGTTTCAAATGTAAAAGACTAATTGGCTGTGAGGAATAGAAACCACTCATACCAAGCCCTTAAGAAGGGTCAAAACAAACCTGAAGTTGGATATAGCAACTAGATCAAGAGAGAACTTTTTCCATTACTTTTTTTTTTTTTATTAACAACTCAACCATTAAAGAAAGAAGCAATTTATGTGTGATTGAAAAAAGGTCAGAACTGTTAAAGTTTACTAATAAATAATGGAAGAACGAGGGTAGAGAACTCATGGCAAATTTCATAGCATTTCCTGCAATCACAGTTGGTAACAATCTCAACAGAAGGGTGTAATCAAAACATCTAGGATGCTTGAGGTTAAAGAAACATGATAAATGAAAACAACATTATTGAACTCTTACAGAAAAATAAGCTTAACTCTTCAGGGATACAACTACATGGTTGCTTCTCTGCTGATAACCGAACAGCACTGAATTCATGTGCTGGGCAACAGTTTCTAGGCACAGGCTTCCCATACAACTTGCGAAAGTCATTTATTCTCTCATTGCCTCACATCTCTATTTGTAAAAGCAGAAAAATACTTCCTCCCTCTCTCCACCTTGCCTGTTTCAACTCAGTCCTGCACAAAACTAGATACCAAGAGAAACCAAGTTGCAAACAATTGCACGCTTGCTTCTTTATGCAGCTGAGCTGTGTGCAACTGCCCACTTGTGCAAAATGATGCTCCTGAATAACTGCAGGATTGAGATGGTGCAATGTAAGCCTTCCAAGGCTGAGACAGGCTCTTCCTACAGCTATGGAGACGTAGCACCTAGCACACTTCTGCCTGGAGATCCTGGTTTATACCTCCCAGGGCTGCAGCTACTTTGGAGCGATGCAAACAGGTCATTAGTCATCTTTGGCAGGAGACTGATGAGTGCAGGCTTGTCTATCCCATGTCCCTGCTGGGTCTGGGAAAGCTGCCATGAAGTGCATCCTGCTCTGCGCATAAATGAGGTAATGTCCTGCACTCCATTTGGAGGCTGTGTAGCCAAGCCTGGAGGGCTGGTCCTTCCAGCAATCCAGAGATGTGACTGCAGCTCTTGTAGACTGACCAGGGCTAGATTTACAGTAACTCACTCATGTGCTGCTAGCAGTATAACCAGACCACATGGGCTTCAACGTGGCCTGCACAAACCTGCTTGGGACCCTGGGTAAGAAACTTGGAGCACGTATCACAGCACCCACTGCCTGTACCAGCTGGGGCATTTTCAAGGATGCCCTGCTCACCAACTCCCACACCTGCTCCAAACCTGGAAACACAGTGATGAGGCAACTGTTACTCTGCTAAAAGGAACCAAACTAGCTCAGCTATATGTAGTGGGCCTGCAATCACACGCCTGCATTGCAGCAGGAATGCGGCTGAGATATATCCCATATATTGTTAAAAAACACACACACACATATACACACACACGTGTGTGTGTGTATGATATATCTATATATCTATATCTAGATACATCACACATATACTTTATACATATCACACACACTATACATATATACACACATACATACATACACACGTGTGTCTGTGGGGGAGTGTATATATATACATAAAATATAATAAGATATAAGATACAAATATATAATATTCTTTTTATATATGTGTGCATGTTCTAAAAAATATATATATATATATATATATATATATATATATATATATGTTTTAAATAAATAATACTTGAATAATCTAAAAATAACCCACATACTTGAAAGAGGATGAACCATACCTGATTCCTGTTGAGAAGCTTTCTCTTTCTTGGGAACACTGCTGTTGGGATGAGATCTCTTACGAATCATCGACATAAGGGACCTTTGGGAAAATTAAAATGCAGACAGTCACTCTAGTTTCCCTTCATAGTAACATCCACTTTTTTAAAATGGACTCTGACATGAGGACACACATGGTAAAACAAGTCAGCATCAAACGTTTTCTTCACTAATTGATAGGTCACCCACTTACAAAAGATGCGTTTAATAATTTCCTAGCGGAGACAGAGGTACACTACTATAAATACACCAAAAAAGAATTTACTTCTCTTGATCTGTATCTAGGTATACTGAAATATGCTTATGAGCTAAATATTGGCAGGTAACATGGTCCTGTGACTCATGAAACAAATTAAAGCCCTCCTGGCACTATAAAAGGAATGAAGGGCTGTGCACATTAATGTGAAGCATTATTCTTCCAAGGCCAACGCTAACCTGGAGGGGTACACAGAACACTCCTTCATTCTCAAATACATATTTTACCAGAGTTAAAAGAAAAATCAATCTTTAACTTGAACTTGAAAAGAATACTGTGACGTGAAAACCTTCAGGCAAGATGTGATGCAAATTTTAGAGGTTTTTCTTAAAGTGAGTTTTTATATGGGGTTTTGAGGAGGGTTGTTTTTTGTTTAATTCCATTGATTTAAAAAAAAACAAACCCAAACCATAAAACATTGTTCTGTACTGTGTCAGCACTGCTTTGTCAATGCAGGAAACCCTGAAAGGCAGAATAAGCTATAACCTTCTCAGAAACAAAAATGTAAAACTAACCAATTTATTTTCATTAGCTAGGATGAAAGAAAAATGCAAAATGAAATAAACAGCATGTGCAATGAGGAGAAAACGGTCTCTTTAATACTTTTAGTTGAAGTTATCGTTAGCAGCATGGCTATGATTTCAAAAGCAAAACTCCCTCTCAGAATTTGGTACCAGACCCTTTTACCAGGGATATCGGAGTTTTTACCTTTCTTCAACCTGCAATAGCTAAATTGTATCAGTGCATTAATCACACACTATACGTATATAATATTTGATGTAATTCTATTAATATAGATATTATGTCCAGGGGAAACTTAAACAATTTTCCCAAGTCAAGCAGCCCACTATACAAAGAAATAGAAAGTTCATATGAAATTCTGAAATATCCATTTATCTTTTAATTTTGCAATCGAGACAGTTTATAATGGGCACTTGTGTCTATACCTATATTACTGCTGCTGCATTGCTTTGGATTGCCAGCTATAGCAACTGAGGAGTTTGCATGCCATTTAAAATAATTAAAATGAAACTCTTCTGAAAAAAGCCTACTTACTCTTGATTTTAAATGTCATTGACACTATTCATCCCAAGATTTTCTTTTTATAGGCTACTGTCTCATAACATAGACGTCCTGTTGGTCCTGTAGACACCACTGCAGGCATATTAGACTTCAGAGGAAGCAGATTCTCCTGCACTCTTCCCTCTTTAATCGTTCATATCCCAGGAAAAAAAGTTTTTCCTCAGATGGCAATTCAGCTTTTTTCAAATTCAGGAAACATTTCAGGGTTTCTCCCACCACCAACTGCAAAGGCCTGGCTATGCACTTTTCTGTATTCTCTCAGGTATTACATTTTACTCATAAGAAAAGTGACCTCTCTGAATTGAGGAATCTTTCCTACAATATGGATGTAGTCACCTCCACACGTCTGCGCTTCAGATCACAAGTAAAAGTTAAAGCTATCCTGCTTTAGCCATTTCAGATGTTTAAACTGGACTTTGTCAACCATTCTGATTAGCTCGGGAACACAACCTTTTAAAAAACGCAGCTTTGCTCAGGACAAGGTAAGACATGGAAGGCATTAACTTACTAAGCATTCCTTTAAGATGGATATACAACTGCACTGTAAGTAAAAAATGTTGGACTGAATAAACTGATTAAGTAACTCACATGAACTAATGACAGGTAGAAGTAGCAAGTCCACATAAGACTGCTCAGAAAAGTATTTTACGGAAACAACAGTGCCAGGGCACAAGAGGATAATTTTATACTGCTAAAATGTCAGTAGTCACCTACATAATTCCAATAATTAACAAGACTCCTGTGTGTAATATCTGCTGCAGCATGGTAACAAGATTACAATAACATTTTGCAGCAGCAAGAGGCGAAGGTGCCCAACCCGGACATCAGTAAGAGCTGGTGGGTGCTCAGCTCTGTTCAACACCCAGTTCCTTACTTGGGTGCCTAAATATGAATGCTAGAAGCAAACAGGGATATAGAATTTTTACAGGAACTTAAAAGAATCATAGAAGTCGGGTCGGAAGGGACCGTGTAGATCTTC